AAAAAGTGCAATGTCCTAAACAGCAAATAAAAACCAAATGAAGTGAAATGGACTTTTCCATTTATCATTTCTTAGATTTTTTTTTCAGAACCTTAATATTAGAAAGTATCTCTAATTATAACATATAAAAACTTGAGAACAACTTGTCCTGAAATCTTTTATTTATTACCAGCAAAGCATAATCTTATTTTATTGCCTGGCAAACTTGGTTTTCAATTCCCATTAGAACAGATGATGGATTAACATCTAATTTTCTCTTAATTACTTTACAGAAGCGAAGCTTTCTCTTTTTCAGCTATTAAAAATACTATGCATACTGACATGACTTCAAAAAACACCAGCACAAATTCAAGGGCACACTTCCAGGAACTAGATAAAACCCAATCCCCAAAGTCTTTCATCATCTATCCCACAGAGCAGTAATTCTTACTGAAGTATAGGCAATGGAGGGTATCAGAACTTGAAGTTAGTCATCCCCCCTTATCCGAGGGGCATACTTTCTAAGAACCCCAGTGGATGCCTGAAACCACAGATAGTACCAAACCCTATATATACTATGTATGTTCTTTCCTATACATACATACTTATGATACAGTTTAATTTATAAATTAAATTAAGAAATTAACAATAACGAATAATAAAATAGAACAATTATAACAATATACTACAGTAAAAGTTCTGTGAATGTGCTCCCTCTCTCTCCTAATATTGTACTATTCTCACCCTTCTTGTGATGATGTGAGATGACATAATGCCTGCGTGATGAGATGAAGCGGGGTGAATGATGTAGGCATTGTGACGGAGCATTAGGCTACTCTGAGGGTATCACAAGCATTTCCATGAGTTGATCTGATAACCAAGATGATTGCTACTAAGTATGGGGAGCTTATACAGCATGGAGACGCTGGACAAAGGATGGTTCACATCCAGGCCTGGAGCAGGGCATTGTGAGATTTCATCATGCTGTGCAAAGTGGTGAGCAATTTAAAACTTATGAATTATTTCTGCAATTTGCCACTTAATATTTGTGGACAAGTGGTTCACTGCTGGTGACTGAAACTGCAGAAAGCACAAGTGCAGAAGGCAAAACTGCAGGTGAAAAAGGACTGTTGCCACAGGCTCTCTGATATTTCTCGAGTAGGGCATGCCGCCCCGTCTGCAGAATGCTGTCCAGGTCGGTGGCATGGAGACATAAAGCTCAGGACAGTGTCATGAAATACTTGTTTAGCCCAGGAGAGAGCGGCTTTTGACTCAAAGGCTAGCAACAGTTTATTTCTTGGTCACAAATTTAAATGTTATCTTTGAATCTCAGGCCCAAGTTTCAGTTCATTTATTCACCACCCTCCCCGCCCCGGGAATTCATCAGAATGGAAACAAAACAGAGAGACTCTATTCCTTGTGTTTGAAATGTAGCTTTCTCCTTCAGTAGGTAAATAGAAAAGCTGCTGTAAATCCATGTAGTGCAATGTTAGTCAGCAAAAAAAGAAACTGGCTATCAAGCCACAAAAAATGATGGAGAAACGAGGCCAGACTATGGAGACAATAAAAAGATAAGTGGTTGCTAGGGAGGGCTGACTAAGTGGAGCACAGGGGATTTTGAGACTATTCTGTATGACTCTATAATGGCAGATACATGTCATTATTCACTTGTCAACACCATAGAATATACAACACACACACACAAAAATGAGCCCTTATGTAGACTATGGACTTGAGTTATTATTCATGTATCAATATTGGCTCATCAATTGCACGAAATGTACCACACTTAAGATCCATCCAAGAAAGGATAAATCAGTCAGAGATAGCTACAAAAAGTAAAAGAGATTTTATCTGACCTGTAATCCTTAGGGAGGACCTAGTAGGCAGGTGAGGGAAGGGAGGGCATGCCCAGAGGGAAAACAAGAGCGAGGGGGTAGAGGTGGACTAGTGAGGAAGAGAGGCAGGCCCAGAGAAAGGAAATGACTCCAGGACTTAAGGAAAGTGAGTTTTAATAGACAGAATGGGACTAGGTTATTGAAGCCCCTGAAAGGCAAGCAGATGAAGTTTATATCTGACTTAGTAGGCAGTAGGGAGCCTTAGCAGGTGTTTGAGCAGGGGAGTAATACAAGATACAGTCAATCCTCACTACTCATGAATTTTGTATTTGCAAATTTGCATATTCATTAAAATTTATTGAAACCCCCAAATCAATATTCATGATCATTTTGGGACATGTGCAAAAAATTTTAAAAAATAACATAAAATTTAAACCAAAGATGCTAATAATAGGAGAAACTATTGGGAGATCAGGGCCAGGGGATACATGAGAACTGTCAGTACTTTCTACCCAATTTTTCTGTAAACCTAAAAGTGCTCTTGAAAGAAATCTGAATTAAAAAAACAATTAAAAAGCTAAAAATAGAAAACAAATAAATATGTAAAGAGAGAGAGAAAAAAAAGAACTTACTTCTGGTTTAAAATTAGCCACTCCCGAATATAGGTCTGAACACAGTCCTTGACATGAGGGTCCAGTTCAACCCTAATGAGATGGGTAATGAAATAAAAACATGTTGTTACTGTGCAAAAACAACAAAGCAAGGCCTTATCATAACTAAGGAGAGAGCAGCACGGTTTCAAATCCATGTCAAATGAGAATGCTTGGGGCAGTCCTTACCCAGTCATTCCAAGTGAATTCCTCAAGCAATAACATTTTTACTTTGATGAAAGATATGTTGGCATTTTATACTTTGTGGGTTTTCTTTATTACAGAGAATTGTGTTCAACCATACTTATCCCTAGAGGCATTCTGACACAAGACAGGTAGAACTAGCTGGAATCACATACAAAACAGGAAAAATAAGTATAAGTACCATTTTTTCAGAGGAGTAACTTGGGCATAGTTTTTGTTCACGCGTAACCTTGTTAGAACACGCATGTGTTTCTTTTTGAAAGCCATGGAGAACAGTTTTCTTATGCTTTGAGAAGTTGACAGGAAAAAGGAGACATATGTACTATGTACTATTTGTAATACTTTAAACAATAAAATAAAATTTAAAAAATAAAAAGTAGCCCTAACCGGTTTGGCTCAGTGGATAGAGCATCGGCCTGTGGACTGAAAGGTCCCAGGTTCGATTCCGGTCAAGGGCACATACCTTGGTTGCGGACACATCTCCAGTAGGAGGGGGGCAGGAGGCAGCTGATCGATGTTTCTAACTCTCTAACCCTCTCCCTTCCTCTCTGTAAAAAATCAATAAAATATATTTGAAAAAATAAAAAAAATTAAAAGTAAAAAAAGAAGTTGACAGACACTGGCTTTGATTGGTGATCATTGATTTGGGTGGGTCTTGCACGTCACGAGAGATAACTCTTCAAATGCTCCAGAATCTTGAAATCAGAAATAATTAATTTCCCACAGCAACAAAGTTGTTTTGCTATTTCCCCCAATGTTTTGGTATTAGAGATAAGTAAGTCCAAGTACTGCAAGTTTTAATTTTCTTGTTTGTAAAAAGGAGATAGGAACAGTACTTACTGTGTAGGCTTGCTGTTAGTATCAGATGAAGTATTCTAAACATTAGCCACGTGGTCCCTGGGCTCTGCATGTCTATATCTAAGCCCCACCCATTATCAGCTATGTGACCTTGGGCCAATCACCCAACCCTTCTGTGCCTCAGTTTCTTCACCTTAAATTGGTGATATTAATAGTGGAGCGTGTCCTTTAGAGAGCTGTGATGAAGTTTAAATAAGTTAGCATGTGAAGTGCTTAGAAGAGTGTCTAGCACGTAAGACCTACAGATGATAGTTCATACTTAAGGACCATTTACTATGCATTAGGCACTGATGTAATCACCTTAAAGGTAGTAATTCAGTTAATTTTCTATCAGCCCCCATAGGACAGGTACTATCATTATTCTCATTTTGCAGAAAAATGAGGTGAGAAGGATCTGGCTTAAAGTCACCCAGGAGGTGGCAGAGCAGGGGCCGGAACCCAGGCAGCTCACCTTTGGAGTGCAGGCTTATAATGACCACTGATCACTGCTCAACGCAAAGTTTCTGGGCTAGGCACAGGGGGCTCAATAGCATCAGCTGTTTACTCTGATGATGACCATGGTACCTTGTTGGGCTTTAATGACACGGAAGACTTCGGGGCAAGGATTGAAATAGTACCGGTTGTTTTCAAGTCATCAGACAGACAATGTTAGCTATAAATTTCAGTAACAAGGTAGTATTACACTAAAAAATAAGGCTAAGAAAAATATTACCTCCTCTATCAAATCTCAAGAAATAAAAACCCTCCTACCTCTAAAGTATTTTAAACAGGCTCTTCCAAGATCCTAACCATAAATTTTACACAAAGAAATCAAATTAAATGATTCTCCTAAGAGTAAAAATAATAGACACTACCTACATTAAAGTCAAACCTGAATAGATGGACTGAGCCTTAGGGAAAAATGTTTCCAAAGGATCACAGAGTTTTTATTTTGTGGGAAGTGAGTATTTTCAAAACATTAAGAACTGAGCATGTGGTCAGCTCTATGAGAATGAGAACTAGCTAAACAACAGAGCAAAGGGTAAAAAATACCATGTCACTGTTCACTGTCATCCAACTTCCTTAAACTGTAATAAAATGAAACCCAAACTAGAACCAGAATAGCCCAGAGTAATGAGGGCAGGGGCCATGTTTCATGATCTTCTTTCTGGGACTTTTTGGGGAAGAGGAGGAGGAGGTTGAAAATGTCCAGGAGGATGTGAATGTTAACTTTGTTTTGAAAATGAATGCAAATCCAAGTTCATCCAAAATCTCCAAAGAGACATTGCTTTTTACACTACAGAAGTAACGAGTTTCATTTAGATATAATTCCATTGTTCGATAACAAGAGCTAACGGCCATACCTATAAACACATAGACTAACCCACTGTGGAAACTCAAGCCCTAAACAGCTATTCACATAGTCACTCAACAGAGCTTTCTCCATTGCTTTTCCACTTGACAAAAGTTTCAAGGGAAGGGAAATTTGCCTTATTCATCTTTTTATCTCACTGCCCAACACATAGTAGATGTTCAACAAATGTGGGTCCAACTTATGTTTATAACTTGATCCAGTCATTAACCAATTAAAATGCTTCTGAATGGAGGTTTAAAAAAATTTATGAAAAATCTTGACATATTTACAAATGGAGAAACTGAGGCTTCCTGAGGTCACATGACCTGCCCAAGGTCACTGAGCTGACTCCAGATCCCACACTCTTCACCTCTGATGGAGCATTCTGTTTTGTCCCACTGCACCCCTTTCACTGGCTTAGCTCCCACATGACTTTTCAAAGCCTCTGGTAAAACCAACTCAAAACCTGTCTACATGTAGGTCTTTGGGTTATCGTAGTCATCCTGTACATCTCAACAGAGCTGAGTAATTTAGTTTATTTTCAAAAGAAGTCCAAAATTAGAGCACCTTTCCCCTTACCAAGAACAGGCCAGACAGTCACAATCCCATGTACAGTTTAAGAAAACGATTTACCCTTCCTCCGGCAAAGAGGGCTGCAAAGTCCGACATTCCTTTGGCGTGAACACCACGTCCAAGTTGTCTTCCGTGAAGTCTCCCAGCTCCTGGGCCAGCTCCACATCCAGGTTGTTCAGGTGTGTCATCAGAAGTCCTTCGAAGTCCACCGGCTCCACTGGGTCATAAAACTGAGGCTGCAGGGGCAGGGAAAAGGAAAAGGAGGTTCCCTCTCGGTTTTCAGATAGAAGCACTAAGGCGACAGTAGGTGTTGGTCCCCCTACCTCTTTCCACTCAGTACAAGTGCTTTACTCTTAGCTCAGAGGAGCTGTCACACACAGAGGCAGCGATATGGAAAAGAAACGCAGCTCGGAAAGTCGAGTCAGAACACGGTGAGTAATTAAAATCATACCCCAAGGCAGAATTTTTCTCTGCTTAATTGCACCTTGATGAGAAATCCTGAGGAGATCCAAAATGAGATCATAAGGCTTTGCTGCATTTTTACAATTTCTCCTGCAAACACTCTCTGAGGCCATACAGTGAAGTAGAAAAGAGGCAATTTTCCAGAAATGCAGGCGAACTCAACAACATTCCTTCGACTATTTCAGCATGGTGTTTCCTTTGGCCTGGGTTATCCTCTAGATGGGTTCTTGAAACCCTGCACTCGCAATCACAGTCCATAGGGAACCAGGCTTGGGGGCTGAAACATCCCCAAGGCAGTGACTTCCAGACGCTGCTGGGCTGACTGTGCTGGTCGGCAAGGCATTTTCACTGCCTGCTGTTGAATGAACAAAACTACGGGCATAGGCTGAGGTTTCATATAGCTACTGTACGTGCTTTAAAATGATGGCGTTTTTGCTCTTCACTCATGTCTTTCCACAGGGGAGAGGATAAAAGAAGTGATAGAAGTGGTGGTAACAAAAAATAATTTTCTTTAGTTGATAAAATAAAAAGTTGGTAATTCAACAAATACATATTCTTGTCTGTGAAGTCCAAAGTTAGGAACCACTGCCTTAAGGGAGTAAAAGAATCACTTAGATCAGTAGATTTGTGTAATAATAATAATAATAATAATAATACAATAGCAGCTCTATAGTGTTCATTTATGGCAGACTATTTGGAGTCATCTGCCCAAGAAAGTACTGTTCTCTACCTCTGACCCCCTCTCTGTAGACGAACAAAACAAACACCACA